TTTTTTTTTTTTTTAAACACAGCACAGTTGATTTTAAGGCAAGTAATACATTGTTTTAAAATCATTTAATACTGGCTGCAATTGGTATGCTGGTTTCACATTTACAGTGTTGTTGAAGAGTAACTCACTTCTCTCTGGAATTTGTGATTTTTGGACTTGAGTATTTGAGTATGAATGTTTATTTTGATAGATTATTTTAAGCAATAACGGTACTGTTACTTTAATGAATAACAAACACTCTTTGCTGTTGGTACTTTGTGTTGAAGGCAGACCAATATTTTGAGGCACAAAGTCTTTACACTAGTCTTTCATGTCAATCTTTGTTTGCTGAACCAATTTTGTTTTAATTTAAAAGAGATTTATGTGATTGGGGTTTTTTTTACCCGCATCAAGTTTTATTTTATAATTCACTCGTGAAACAGCAAGAATTCATCTGAAAGTGGGCCCTAGGTATTGGAGATGGAACACATATTTTCTAGTACAGCCATTGTTTGTGCCTCTCATCATATGATTTTTTTGCTGAGCTATTTGTTTAACATTTAGAATTGTATTTTTCAAGTGTCAGTACTTGGAACGGGAACAGCAGCATATGTGAACGATTTTACAGGTAGCGCATTGTAGTGTATGAAACACGACTGAATTGCTGTTGATGGGGTGATTTTTTTTATTTTTTTATGTTGGCCTGTAGAATTACTTATAACTGCCAACAGTAATAATGAAGACTAAACCTACAGGGTGATGTTGAATCAAGCAATCTGGAGCCATGCACTAAGTTCTTCGATCCCTTTAGACATCCGTTTAAAATGTGTAATATTTAGGAGTAAGATGCTGATTTCATTTTCTGTAATATGAGAATACAGTGTGATATTGACTGTGGAACTCACTTTCAAATTTCAGAAGGAAGGTTTTTATAGCCAATTTGAAAACTTTGAAAGCGAAATTATACATATTTTTTTAATATATTGGAGGATTTATTATATTGTGACAATAGAATGGATGCAAATTATGTCAGTATAATAAACACTGTCTTCTTCCCATACACGTTTGAATTTTTGTCTCTTTTTTTGCATGTGTTTTTATAAAGGAAGTGTAATGCAGCTTCTGTTTAGGTGGAGATGGGCGAGAATGCAAAGGAAAAAACCTTTAAACTTTTGGAGGAGACACTAACGCGCCTCAGATTCCTCTGTTGCTTCTGCAGAAGGACTCGTACCAAAGCACCTGTCCCCTGGTGATTGTTGACTAAAATGTTATTCTGTTTGTTTGATGCAGATTTGCTTCTTATTTGCATATGTTTGAGTTATGAATACCTCCACATGGGAGAGTGTTTTACTTCAGGTTACGTTTTAATGAGGAAATATGAAAGTAAACTGCTTCATTAGAGCTGTGTATGTTATTTGTTGTATTTAAGAGTGTTCATAACTGACAGCGGAGTTATTTTACCTACTGCTATAAGTTTCCTCAACTCAAATAAAACCATAACCTACTTTATGCGCATGCAATAAAACAGAACAACACGCTGTAGGATTACAAAACAATGTGGTGGGTCTAGAGTCCCCCCCGCCCCAGGCGATACTTTTTAAGGCTTCTCCATAAATCACAGGGACAGTGATAGTAGAATCAGTTATTTATCTGACATATAAAGAAATAAAGGAGAAATAAATGATACTGTTAATACTGATTTTTTCCTACCAACATTATAATACCCTTGAAAAGCAGAAGCGTGCTTGCATTAGCTCCTCAAACTCAGGCTCGCAATACTTTCAAAATGAAATGAATAACATTTAAAATAAGCAGAAACGGCTGCCTTAACTATCATAAACTCAATGTTGCAATGTTCAGTCCAAGTATAATGTCTTTCAGGTCAACGGGTATTACTACTCCCATTTTATTTTATTTTATTTCTTTTCCTTCATTTAGGTTGTTTCTAACCTGAGGCATTTTGACATGTCGCGGTTGTAAAAGCACAGGTGTAAGTATTAAAATTAATGATGGCTGAATTCCATTTAGCTGCTTTGGTTTGGAGCAATCGTTAATCTTATTGTTAACACCTGCGCTTTCCCCACCATAAGTTGAAATGATTTATTTAAAAAAAAAAACATAATACAGGCAGAATTGTATAAAAAGTTCCCTAAACAGGAAATAATCTGCTTTCATCCAAATGACTTGTTTAACACAAACGTCTCACGGTTACTAAGTTCACTATTTGGGTTCACTGTACAGTTTTGAATATAATATGAAATATTTATAAAATATGTCACTGAGTCAGGGGTCGTCAGTTTAATAAATGATAGAAGAAGGGGTCCTTTAAGGAAAAAAGGTTGGGAACCACTGGTCTACACTGTGTAAGGATGTGTAGATGGTTGGCTGTTGCATGTGTTTGCTTGATATTGCAACGGTGTTAATATTGTCCAATAAATCAGCCACCATTATATCTTATTTTTTATTCCAGAAAGCTTCAACTTAAAGGTCTGAAATCTCTGATGTCTCATAAGATGAAGCTCCACTGTCCCTGTAAACATGAATGGCTTAAAGAACACGAGAGAGATCTACAAATGCAATTTTGCATATAGGCATTGTTCTGTAGGCAGTCTGGAGGCTTGGAATATGACCATTTGCCAAATACAATAACTGTTAGATAGAACAATCAATCAGAAAATTACTTCTACTTTCTGATTGATATGTTTAAAAACAGAGACTAAAGATTAATTTCCCTTTTAAATTCATAGGTTCAGCAATTCACTCAGCTTTTTATTTGTATTAGGCTTTAATTCACCTGGATAGCCTATTTGTTTTGTCTGATGGGTTCTCTGTCCCTAGTAAACTATTCATTTTGTTTTAATTTGGGATGCCTTTACTGCTCTTTTAATGATCACTGAATGCAGATAGATACTGCATATCAACTTAATAACACCTAATATAATGAATGCTCCCCACTGAGTCAACATATCTTGTCATAGCTCTTTATTATTATTATCCAGTTGCTGAATTTCTTTAAAAAAAGGTTTAATTTGAAATAGACCCTTGTACCTTTTGTTATATGGCAGATGAAACTTTAGAGCACATGTTTTCCTCATGTCCTGTGTCCAAAAGATTTGGTCAGACATAAATAATTGGTTATCACTTAAGGTTAATGACATTTCTCATATTTTCTTTTACGTGGACAATTTAAATTAATCTATCCCTGACATGATAAATATGATCATTCTTATAAATGTCATATTCACTGTTGTAAATGAAGAAATAGCAAGCCTTCCTTTGTGTGTGTTTTTAAATGAATGTTTTTATTCTTTATTTTTCTTTAAAAAACATAGATTTATGGGGATATTTCACCCATGTTGGTATTTTATTTCTTGCCCATCATGAGTTTATTGTGTTTCATTATGCCTGAAGATTTAATTACTATTATGTATTATGTATTCCTATATATGCTCCTACATATACATATATAAATAATAACTAGCAGAGGACGTAACAAAAACCTTTATAAATATAAAGGTTTTTATTACGTCATCCGCTCCGTGTTTTCTCGTCGACGTCACACGCAAGAAGTGGATGCGGAAGTGTTCGCAAACAGCCGCAGCAGGTTGTGTTCAGACAGCACTCACGGATCAAAATGCTGAAGGCGGTTATCTTAATCGGAGGCCCCCAGAAAGGTAAGAAGAAACCCCATTCATGTCGTGTGTTTAACGTAAACCGTGCTCGGTTAAAGCGGAGCTAGGTGGCTAATGCTAACGAGCCCTCTGAAGAGCTTGTTTATATCAGTGACGTGGCACAATGAGGGGACACCACACAAACAAACAAAGGAAAACAACACTTAATAACAATAACAATATGACAATAAATAACAGCACTGTCTATGCAGATAGCGTTAAAGGCGTGCTGTATGTGTACCATGTCATTATTATTGGTCTAATATTATTGACCTCTTACTTAGACCCATTGTCACTCATATCAACGTACTCCACTTGAAAAAAAGGTGTTTTGAGATTTGTTTTCACATTTACTACAACAATGAGTTAAATAATAAGTTTAATCGAGGTGTTAGGACTCGTTGTTCAGTTCGGCAGAAGTTCAGTCAACCGTGTTTAGTTTAAAAATATGAAAATGAGATTAGTAAACCAAGTGGAGATTTTATAGGGATTATGTGCTTCCTGGTGATCACCCCTAATGCTTTGTTAAACACTAGTTGAACACACCTGATAGCACATTTCAAACAAAGAGGCAGTTTAAGGTGCCTTTACACAGGCAAAGAAAAGCATTAAAGTATATGTATGTAAGAGAGAAAAGGGCATTGCATACAGTGTAGTTAAGGGTTCTGTTTAATCTGAATTCACACTGAGGAAAAAAAGTCTGGTTTGCAAGTAATCACCTATACATTGCTTTTCAGGCACCAGGTTCAGGCCGCTGTCATTTGAAGTTCCCAAACCCTTGTTTCCAGTGGCTGGTGTGCCCATGCTGCAGCATCACATTGAAGCATGTGCCAAGGTGAGAGCCACTGCAATACCGAAGTCAGTGTGCAGTGGGGAATTGGCAAATGTAGTACACAATGTAGGGTGATTGTGGAAGAGCTTGTCGTCCCAGTTGCTGGTTGCTGTTAACACATTCTTTCCCCTGTGCTTTGTGATGCAGATAATAGCATTTAATGATAATAATAATAATGAAGATCTTTTGTGTTACCAGGTACCAAATATGAAGGAGATTCTGCTCATCGGCTTTTATCAACCAAATGAAGAACTGAGCAGATTCCTGTTAAATGCACAGCAGGAGTTCAAAATTTCCATCAGGTAAACAACAGAGCTCCTAGCCAAACAACGTACCTAATTACTTGCATACTGAACACTCACAACATGTATTGTATGTACTGCTAAGGTGTTAAGTTTCATAAATAATGTCTTCTTCTTAATGACACATAATTCAGTAAAGAATAGACACCAGTTGTTAAAAAAAAACACTTCTCAGATGCTCTGAACTGTGGTTTAAAAAACATTTCTCTGTTGAATCCGACATTAACAGAAATACTTGAATAGTGCTTCTTTCTTCTTATTCTAGTTTATTATATCTTATTAGTTCATGTTTTCTGTGGTGGTAGTTTTCCTGTGGTGCAATACCGCTGCTGAGTGACTGCAGGTATGCTGTTCTTCCTGTCTCTGCACCCCAGGTATTTGCAGGAGTATGCAGCCCTGGGCACGGGAGGGGGCATCTATCACTTCAGAGATCAGATTGTCTCCGGTAGTCCAGAGGCTTTCTTTGTTCTGAATGCTGATGTTTGCTCAGCGTTTCCTCTCGCAGAGATGCTCAGCTTCCAGAAGGAACACGGAGAACCAAACAGCTTTGTTATCCTTGGGACAACGGTGAGATTTCATTTTTGACAGTTATTGTCTTTATTAGAAGTAAAACTCCCAAAAGTTTTTTTTTATTATTATTATTTCTGTTTTTTTTTTTGTTGGTTCTGTCAAAATTTGATGTATCCTAAATGTTTCTCTTTCATCAGTCAAACAGAAAGCAGTCCATGAACTACGGCTGTATTGTTGAAAACGAGGACACAAACGAGGTATTTAACCATTCCTATTCCCATTTCCCTAAATAGTCGCTCATTACTAAATCACCTTAAAACCGCGACTGCTCCTCTTTTTCATTCAGGTCTTGCATTACGTGGAAAAACCGAGCACGTTTGTGAGTGACATCATAAACTGCGGTATATACCTCTTTAACCCCGACATCTTCCAGCACATCGGCACCGTCTTTCAAAAGAATCAACAGGACATGTTGTTGTGAGTTGAAAGCTCTCTCTCTCTCTGTCTCTCTCTCTCTCTCTCTCTCTCTCCCTCTGAAGCTTTGGGGGGGATCTGTGTGTGGGGAATGCATGTGAATACCATTTTATTCCATTCCTTTGGTTCTCTTCATTTGTCTTTTTTTCCCTTCCCTTATCTTCCCTGCCATGATTTCTGTTTCCTCACACAATCATCAGATATCCATACGATGGGTAAGTTGGTACATTTGGGCTGCACGGTGTAGTTATAGAGCACTTGTGTGCACAGTGTATGGTGTGAGCTGTAGAAAGATAACCCGTGATAAGGCTGAGATTGCATAGGGTGCTTTGTGAATGTTGCCTGCCCCCTTTTTTCCTACAAATTATCACCTCCCATTTTGCAAGCAGCTTGATTATTTGTTTGTGGTGTCATTTGTTGTTTTTTTTTTTACCTATTTTGCCCTTGAAACCAACACTACTGGGTCACTCCAAGGTTTGACGTTTGGGGAAAACATGGGGTAAACAGCTAGCTTCCCTCTGTCCAAAGGTAACAGAATCCACCTACCAGGACTTCTATAGCTCACTCATTAACATGCATTTGTTTAATCTGTACAAAAACCGAAATGTAAAAATGACACCTGTTTTACAGATGGTCTGTTTCTTTGGTTGTCCGGCAACTAGTCAGAGCCAAGAAACTGTCCAGCACGTAACCTGTTGTCGTTTTTACACCTTTTTGTATGATGCACTTTTGCTTTAAGCCCTAGAGTAAAGACAGAATTCACTTGAGATATCGTATACGTAGGTATAAATATATCTGTTGTCTGGCATTACTAAATTTACCTTATTGTAGCTTTGTCTCCCAAGTGTCAAACACTGTGTCATGCAGTTTGCTATTGTCTGTTCATCGCCTTAAGGGCAAGCAGAACTTTACTGACTTCCTCATATCTATTTTTATTCGCTTGTCTGTTTACCCTGTTGTTTCTTTAGGTTAGCTAGAAAAGAACTGGTTAAACTTTGTGTTCCATAGTTGCCAGTGACAATTATATAGCTGCTACACTCCCAGCTGTGCTTTTCTTCTGAACATTAGAACAAGCTTCCTGTCTGATCACAGCCTACACGTGCATGTGGACGGATTGCACCCTGGTCACTCACAGCAGCCATAATAACACATGGGATCAATACATGGAGTTTTTTTGGGAGATTTTACACTTTATGTCTTCTCAAATGTTCACTGTGGTGGAGAAGACCTAACATTTGGCGCCCCAAGGACACTTGGAATATATTACAAAAGGTCAAACCATGCGCTGCATAATTCACCTGATAACATCAATAGCACTTTAATCAAGGAGAACACCGAATCAGCAAAATTGCTGAACACATCAGAGATACTTGATAGAAATGAGAAGGGTTATACTGCGGAATCTCTCAGGGAGTACTTTGCCTCTAACCACATCCCCTCCTTTTTGGTGAAACTTCGATTATGGATGCTATCCTTTTAAAATATTCTTTTCATCAATATTTAACACTCTGTTTCATCTTGGGGCTCTCACAATACACTATGCCAGAGACCCTGATTAATATGGAACACATAGACTCTTCTACTTAAGTTTTGGATCACTACTAGGTAATCAGCTTTGGTTTCAATCCAGCACTGACACCATCAAAGTTAGTATCAGTGATGAATTTTAACTCTGCTCTCATTTTATTCTAAGGGCTGGGTTGTAGGGCAATAAATATGTGTTTTTCTCTGGCTTTAAGAAAGACTGTGGAGGTAAAGGTGCCACTGGGTTGATCAGCGAGTATTTAATTACAATAGTGTAAAGAGAAAGCCATGCGAACTCATCTTCAATTCTTAAAGTATTGTTTTTTTTCTAAACTGGGGCAATTTCTAGTTCAAAAACATAACAATGCAGCACATTCTGTGTATTTAAATGTTCATTAAGTAGTCAGGGAGAATGGTAAAGTTAGTCAGGAAAGAGTATTCAGGGCTGTAGAGGGAGAAACGTTTATGTTCACGCCTGCAGTGACTCGTCATCTGCTTAGTATTTTAGTTATCCTATAGTACATCCACTTTAAGGCCACATCCTTTGGGAAATCACCTACTTCTTTAATAATGTTCCACTCGATTCTTCTAAAAAAATATGAAGAGAGAAATTATTGACAGCCATACCCTGAAAGTGGCTGAGTTTAATTTTGATTTTGCAGTGAAAATTGAACTTCAGTTTATAGTATGTTTTTCAGTTTAAATCCCGACTTTCATTTCATTCTGACTTTGTGCACAAGACTTTAATGAACGAGGCCCCTGGCCCTAGTTTGTAACTCAGTGCCATAAACTGATGATCTGTCTCTTGCAGAGAGGAGCCAACCAACGGCTGGCACCGAGCTGAGGCCATCAGGCTGGAGCAAGACATTTTCACTGCCCTGGCAGGACAGGGCAAACTCTACGTATATAAAACCCTCAGCTTCTGGAGTCAGATTAAATCTGCTGGGTAAGTGTATATGTCATAAATGCTGTCACATTCATCGGGAATTAGTGTTTGCAACATGGACAACCCTGTAGCCTAAAATAATGTTGGAGGAGAAGAGAGACATTGGACTGTCATACATACAGGCCTCCAACCTAGTTAAAAAAAAACGCCAAGTTAGACTTTTATTCTTTTTGAAGCAAACCTCATTTCAAATTTAAACATATAAAAAATTGTGCTTTGAACACCAAAATCATACATTACCGCCCTGATCTAAAAGAAACGGAGTGATACTGATAGCACTGATTTTGATGCTATCAAAAATGCCTTTTGTTGTTTGTTTTTTTTCCAGGTCTGCAATTTATGCCAGTCGGCTATACCTCAACCAGTATCACACTACTCATCCCGAAAGACTGGCCTCAAATAAGGAGGGAGGGCCCAGAATAAGTGGTAAGATTGATTAATCTTCTGTAATGTTTGTTCCTTTCTTATATTACAGACAGATTTATTGATACTTCTCTTTCATTTCTCCAGGTAATGTCTATATTCATCCTACAGCCAACATTGACCCCACTGCTATGGTAAGATTCCCTACTGTGTGGCGTGTAACACCATAAATATGTAGAATTGAACAGGTGCCATTATCAGAACACCCTTTATTGAAAAATATGCAGCTCTTACTGGGTGGAAAAGTAAAATACAGGTGTATCTCTTTCCTCTCTCAATCCAGTTGGGTCCCAATGTGTCAATTGGCACTGGAGTCACTATTGGTGCTGGGGTCAGAGTTCGAGAATCCATCATCCTCCATGGTGCAACTCTACAGGTGAGCCCCTGTGAAACAATTTACTGTCACATCCTAAACAGGACCGGCCGGGGCGTAGTGAGGTTCACTGTAGGCACTGTCTGACTTGAATTGATTATGCTATTTTCAACTGAATCAAAATGTGAACTTAGTCTTATGCTTAAGGAAGGTTTAAGGTTTTAGCTTCACTCACAGTATAACCATCAAGTTTGGAATTAAACTGGAGCTCACACTAAGTTAGAAGGGACATTTATCTGCCCATTTACTGCTGGTGACATCTTAACATTTTATTATCCACACTTCAACAGACTTCTCTAGAATGTATCTTTAAGCTCGTCTGTCACCCCAGAAATATTGTTGCCTGAGCCTCTCACAAAGATGTCATTTTTAACGATTTGGAGGCTGACATAATTTAATCCCATGTCTGCAGTGATGACTGGATGTCTCCAAAATGAATTTAGACTGTCAGCGACTTATTACATATAGCCTACAAGGACAATTTGTTGTATGAGCTATATTTCGGTTTTTAATCTGAAGTTTTAAGTAGTTTGATTTGACCGTGCTCAATGATTATTCACATATAGGAACGATATCTAATACGGCGTATTTGGATACCTAAAACCTTTAGAGTTTTCAGTCGTTCTACAGTTATCCGCTTGATAATGTTTTAACTTAAAATGTTTTCTGTCCTGTTGTTGTTCCTGTAGGATCACTGCTGTGTTTTGAACAGCATTGTGGGATGGGACAGCACCATTGGCAAGTGGGCAAGAGTAGAAGGAACACCAAGTGACCCAAACCCCAATGATCCCTATGCAAAGATTGACAGCGAGACCCTCTTCAGAGATGGAAAACTCACACCCTCAATTACCATTCTCGGTAAGCACGCACTGACCTTGAGTGAAACTTGCATTCCTCAGATGAATTGTTAAATATTCATTATATTCCGCATCAAAATATGTATTTTTCTCTTCAGCATTTTTAAAAATGTGTTCTCAGAAATGAAAAGTTAGCAGATTAATAAGGGAAAGGTCCATGCTGTGATCAGTCCCTGCAGTCGACTACAGCATGTATCGGATAGTAATTTGACATATTTGCGCATATATTTGTCTCAACATTTTCTTGCCAACATGACTCATGATGCATTACTGAATTATACATCTGTCATTGTCTCCATTTAGTGCTAAGTGCTCATTGTTTGAAACTGCAACAAAGAACATTTGTTGAGTTTCCACTGTACTTCCTAGATAACACGTGTCAAAACAGTACATCCAGTACTAGAAGATCTTTATTTGATTTTTTTGTGAGCTGTATTCAGCCTGTTCACACACAACATTGCTTTTTAGGCTTTCTACCTTTACCAGAAAGGTAAAATACATCACATCCTATATGCCAGGAGTGTGAGTTACAACTGAAATATAATGTATTGTGTCTACTATCCTGTACTACACTGCACAGACTAAATACAACCTTGCTTTTTCTCCTCAGGTTGTAATGTGACCATCCCCTCCGAGGTGATTATACTCAACTCAATTGTCCTCCCACACAAAGACCTCAACCGCGGCTTCAAAAACCAAATTATTCTCTAGTTAATCTTCCTCACGCTTCTGTCCACTTACTGTCACTGATGAAGGATGCAGCTGGATGCCCCAGCCGGCACTGCCTCTGAGTTACTGTATATAAGATGTCAAAAATGAAGATATGGGACATTCATTAAATAGTTTTGAAAGATAGATTTTTTATATATTTGTCCTCAAGCCTTTATGCATCATTGGGTGTCAGCAACATTACAGAGAGGCTAATCACGCATGTTGATTCACCTTGAAAAGTGCTGTCATGCCAGAGGTTTATATTGGTTTTTTATTAACTTTACCGAACTGTAAAATTAGTGCAGACAGCAGTGTAATATATTTGGTTGGATGTAATATGATGTATAAAAAAAAAAAGTTTATAGACGACCCGTTTCTCAAGGGCATCCTTGACATACTTGAGACTTGTTACTTCAGTGTGAGAAGAGGAATTATTAAAAAAAAAAAAAAAAATCACTGGCTTCTGACTGGTTCATTTTTAGAGGTGATTATTTGTGTGGTGCTCTGATTAAAACCTTTTTAGCATCTTCATTGTTGGTCTCAAAAATTGACTACCACCAAAATAAATCAGCAGGCTTGCGATTTACATTGCAATCAAGTAATGTTGCCTTTCAAAATGTGAACTTAGCAGGAGGGGGTGTTGAGACTCTGCCATAATAAACAGCAACAGCAGATACTTAAATTGTGCATTTGCAATCACTGGAGGAACTGTTCCAATTTATGGATACACATTAACATTTACTTATTAAGCCCTCAAGCACTGATGATCACTTCAGCACTTTTGTTCCAATTATTGCAAAGAGAGTGTCTATTAAGGAGCGATGTAAATTGTGATACTGGAACTGCAGCATAATATATTTTAATCAAGTCTCTTCACAAACTACCCTCAGATGAAAGGGGGAAAAACTAGTTAATGTATATTTTTATTCAGCGTGAGTTTATTTCAGGGTTTTATATGTAAGTGCCTGTGCTGTTCTGTTCATTGTTGATTCAGGTGCCTTTCTGCTTCAGAAAAACTGCCTCATGCCAGTTAAGGGGCCCCTCATTACAGTGTTTTTATACTTTTGGTGGGATGTTCATCAGTTGGGCTAAAACCTCTGTGCTCCTCACATGAAAGGCAATCCTAAAATTCATTAGATCAAATAGGCTTTCCACTCCCATAAGAGTTTTATGCAGAAAAATCCTCACAGTAGGGGTAGGGCTTGTAGATAAATTCTAATATTATTTACTGAACTGTTCAGCCTCTGACTGGGAAGCATAGACCGTGCTTAGCTCTGAGCCGGCCAGTAGAGGAAGAACTGGGTTTGGGGTATTTAAAAAAGAAAAATGTACAGGACAGAGTGACAGGAAAAACATCAGAATGGGAAAGACAGCGAAGGTGACATGTGACAAAAGCTGGATTCGAATCCCTCCCATTCTGTCTACATGAAGGGCATTTTAGCTTGATGAGTCAGAAGACATGTCAACTGCCAGAAAGTATGTATACTCGCCTTTTTCAGTCTCCATGCATTTTTAAAAGAGATTGGAGACTTTACTTATCTGCGTTAGCTTTTCTTGTCTTTGTGTTTCCTGGAAAGGTTGTTTTCATCAATTTCCTAATTGTAGGTTGCTGATAACATTTAGAGGTTGACTGATACCATTTTAACAATTTGAAATAAAAATATGAGTTTCTTATTATTATTATTATTAGTAGTAGTAGTAATAGTATTATTATTAATCATTACACTGTTACATAATGCACAGTGGTGCAAGGCCATGTCTTGACAAGCTTAAAGATCTGCTCCAGACATGCATTAAAACACGTATACAAATAGTCTAATTGGAACAATCTTCATCTTCACTATAAAGTTCAATTCTCAGTGTAAGTGCACTGGCGGCTTCACATTTCTACATCACACTTGTATAAGTTGCATACTGAACCAAGAATGGCTTCCCAACTATTTGTGATGTAACAAATCATGCTTGTTTCAGCAGATGAATGTGAAAACNNTGTCAAACTCTGTACATACATCATCCTGCACAGTGAAGCATGAATAGAAACATCCAACTGTAGGAAACAAAAGAAAAACATAGTTTTGAGTGTAGGGAAGCTTTAAATAAAAGATCCAAACAGGGAAGTAAAAAGATTGCTCATGTAGGATCCAAATTTTTTATAGAGTTGGTATTAATACAAAATAACAGCTTCGACAATGGTAACAATACTAGGGTTTGTAATCTGACCACATATAAAAAGTGAAAAACTCCATGTATGCCTTTATAATCTAGATATTATTTCTACAGTACATTTTTTTGCGTAATGTGTTTAAAGCTAGTTGCTAAGTCTCTGCACAGGAAACACTGCTAGTTCTGTTCTGGGAAGGACAACATGTCATACTGAGGCTCAATCAACTCAGTGAAAATTGAAAAAACAAAACCACAAAACTGACTCAATCATCTCTTGCTTACAAACGGGTTGCTTGCACGCTGTACTCTTGGGTTAAATTGATCAAATGAATTTGTAGAGGACTTAGTCATCCTATGTGCATCTTAACTCCACAAAATTTGTATAAAAAGCTCCAACAAACGTAGTTGGATCCAACTGAATTATATTGTAGGTGTTGTATTCCCATGACATATTAACTACTCATCTCAAGCTTTTACACTAACAGCTTCCATAATTGGACAAATCATCGTTCTACCAGGGTTTGTGTTTAACACAGGGCAGTCAGCACAATAAAGCAGGTCTTCTGTAAATGAAGCATGAGGAAAGCCAAACTGTCTCTATTAGCCTTTGAAAAGTCTCCAGTGGCAGGATGCATTCTGTTTCTAACAGGAATCTCTGGTGAGGACACATGTTAGTGTTATGAGTTGATCAGAGAGCAATAAGATGTGACGGTACAAGTAACTAGAAGGGGAAATGAGGGCACAAACTTAGCCATGGTTGTCACATCAGTGCCAATATAGTAAACTCAAGCTGCGGATGTCAGGGTGTAGTCCACCTGAACCATACATATCTACATGGGATAAGGTCACTTCATGCACATGCTAAATTCCCTGTCATTTGCACAAAATGACCTTGCCTGAACTTTACATCCTCTGTGGTGGATTGATTGAGCTGCATGATTGATTGAGCTGCATCTATTATACAATTGTGATATTGTGAAAATGAATTAATCTACACTAAATGGATGCCATTAAGTAAATCAATTACCATCAACCGGGTGCTTGTGCGTCGGTTTCAAGGCAAACAAATACGCTCTTTAAGAAAATCAATGTTTGCAGCTAATGCGTTTCATAAAGTCTTCAAACTATTTACAACAGTAAACACACACATATGGATTTTGCCGGTTAGTGGAAGTCTCCTAATCAAAATCCTTTTAGCTGCCAGTGACCTAGCGTCTGCTGACATCCACATGTCAGGCCACACGGCCAGTTGCTACGAGGTCATGGTAATTTGGGTCCAGCTTGTGCTTCGGATATAGAGAGATGCTCCCCCCTAAGCTTTTTTTTAGCCATGATTAATTTTCAGTGACCTTTGAAAAAAGTAAGATTTGACACCTGTATCCAAAAAAGGACTGGGTGTATGACTGTCATATTAAATCTTGGATGAGGATGCTAATCCTGACACACAGGTCTCTCAAGCTTCATCATTCAGCTCTTCTAGTTACCACACGCTCGCCCCACCTGAGCTCCTTCACACTGTACGTTTTTTGGATTAAACCTCTGAAAAGATTGTGGTCACTGATAAACCTCAATTCCGTGCTTCAAAAAGTTTCATCAGAAATATATGCATTGTATTTGCTCTTGATGATTGTTGAAAACACCTGAGGTTTCCATAAAAAGGCCGTGGAGTGAGAAGTCCACAGAAAACAAAAGTCCATTTTGATAAGCCTAAACAATACACGTCTCCTTTCCGATCATTTCACCTTTAAGTTTTTCCTCTAATGTGAAGGAAATGAGGCAAAGAACAAGAACAGACGATCAAACACTGTAATAGTTCTCACACAAGGTAGGAACACACACTCCTACTGTTCTAGACAGTTCCAGTTTTATTCATGCATTAAACTATCAACAGAGGACCTGCAGGATGGGTCACCTTTGGCACTTCTCTCCACTATAAAGATTTTAAAAGAATATTAACAACTGGAGATGATGACATGTCATTATTGTTGTTATTGTTGTTGGTTATACCCAAGTCTGGACTTTATTATCTCTTTTTTCTTGTTAAAAAAAATCCCAGTAAGTCAGAGTAGCTCAGTTCCAGTTCATGATGGGACATTGAATTAATTCAATAGTAAACAAATGATCCTACTAAAAAGCTTTCAAAAGCACTGAAAATCAGCCAGGAGCACTGTCTTTATGCCTTATTCACAATTATCTCTCTCTCTCTGTCTCTCTCTCTGTCTCTCTCTCTGTCTCTCTGTCTAAGTTAAAGCTGTGGTTCCCAACCTTTTTCCTTAAGGGACCCCTTTTATATTATTGAATAATCTGACAAAGTTACATAATTTATATACATTTAATATTATATTCATTTTATAACAGTACAAAACAACAGAAAAACAACTGCACAATCAACACAACTACTGTACGCAATAATATAAAATATTAAAATTCTAACATGTTTTTACAGGAATTTTTAACAATCCTACATAATTAATAGGCTTCTTTTTTGACACATTTTCTTCTCCTTGACGCTTGGCCATTGTTCTGTTAGCTCTTTGGCTGTTTTAACTGTGTACCTTTTTAATGAAGGACAAGGATGTTAGGAGAGAGTGAAAGGGCTGATTAACAATTTAATTTATTTTAATTTTAAAGAGTTGTCTCACACCCCTTAAAATCAAGAAGGCCTCAGACAGATTTTGCCACAGTCTCCATCAGCCAATCATGTTTTTGTTTTCAAACTTTAAATCAGTTCTCTGCTTTGCTTCTGTCAGCTGTCATTTTGACCTCCTCCACCCCATTAACCTCCAGTTCCTCATATCCAGTGCCCAGGATAAGCGCATTAGGAGTCCACTCTTCATCACATCCAGATCTTCAGCGTTCTGTTCATCCCTTCACCATCACCACCAGTTTATAGACTCCATCGGAGGGTGGGGGGTTTCCTATACTAATTACAGCTTCATCAAACCCTTTAAACCTTTATTGTAGTAAATATAGTTGTTCATTCAAAATGAAGTCTCTCCTGATTAAACTGTATTTGGGGAAAAAAGCTGCTGCACTGATTATGACGTGTCTATTGTGACAATGCTATAGAAGTATTTTTTAGACTTATGGTGTTATAAACAACCGAACAAACACTAACATGTCTTTCTTTCCTAGGTAGCTTGATTGAAGAGATGTTGATGACATATATTTCCAACTTTATAGATGTTCGCACATGTGACCATGAACATACAGATTATAAAGTTTAGTTTGAAAAAGAAAGGACTAACCAATGTCAGCTCTTCTTAAGAAATACACGGCAATAAAATACA